TATTTATCTACTTGCACCGGTGTGCTTTTGAGTTGCTAGGTTGGCAGAAGCTGGGACAGAGCAACGGGAGCTCACCTCGCCACGTGGATTTGAACCGCCAACCTTCTGATCGGCAAGCCGAAGAGGCTCAGTAGTTTAGACCACAATGCCACCCACTCCCCTATAAAGCCTTACACAGCTCAGGACCTCAATACTTTATAAAGACCGCCTCTCCCCATATGAGCTGACCTGGACCCTGTGCTTGTCACCCGATGCCCTACTCTAAGTCCTCAGGAGATTCAGAGGGTGACAACATGAGAATGGGCCTTTTCTGTGGTGGCTCTCTGTCTGTGGAATGCTTTCCCTAGAGAGGCTCACCTGACACCATCATGACAGATCTTTAAGTGCCAGGCAAAACATTCCTCTTTACCCATGATGTTGGCCATTAAATAATCTATGGCCTGTTAAAGCTGGGGGGGGGGGGAAGAGACTGTTGTTATGGTTATTTTATTATTATTATTGTATTATGGTTTTTGTTATGTTTTTAGTATTATGCTCTGGAAAATGTCTTCTTAATCTTGTACATTGCCCTGGAATCTTTTGATTTGAACACTTAAAAAAATCAGATAGAAGCTGTACTATTTTTGCTTGCTCAGATTCAACTTCATATAGAACTCTCACCCGAGATTTCTAGTTTTGATGGTCACAAATCTAATTTAAATGGTTATGATCAGAGTTCTAGTACTATTGTTATCTACTGCATGCACAAAAGAAAAGGAACGCTAATTAGTGGATTTCACTTTGTACGGTTACATAGTAATGAATCAGACGCACCATTTCATAGCTGAATGGTGACTAAAAATAGGGCCTTTTTCACAGTGGTGTCCTGCCTTATCTCCAGAATGCTCCACGGAAAAAAGAATTTGCCACCACCACTGTATTTAATTAGGTTTCACTGGAAGAAATTTAAACACTTGCTTAACTTTCTCAGTGAAATCAACGGGTCTTCAGAACCAACTTTGGCTGGATTGCGCACTGTATGTAATAACGATTATAGTAATAGTAATAATTTTATTATTTATACCCGGCCCATCTGGCTGGGTTTCCCCAGCCACTCTGGGCGACTTACAGCACATATAAAAGCATAGTAAAATGTCAAACATTAAGATCTTCCTGATACAGATGTCTTCTAAAAGTTCTTTAGAAGTGTAGTTCTTTATCTCCTTGACACCTGAAGGGAGGGCGTCACTTGCTGAGAAGGCCCTCTACCTGGTTCCCTGTAACTTCATCTCTTGCAGTGAGGAAACTGCCAGAAGACCCTCGGAAGAGGACCTCACCTCAGTGACCGATGAGGATGGAGACACTCCTTCAGATACACTTGGCCAAGGCCATTTGGGCTTTAAAGGTCAGCACCAGCACTTTGAATTGTGCTCAGAAACGTACTGGGAGCCAGTGAAGATCCTTTAGGACCAGTTATATGGTCCCGGAGGCTGCTCCCAGTCACCAGGCTAGCTGCAGCATTCTGTTCATGAAACAAAGGCATTCTACCTCCGATAAAAACTTCTGTAAATAATAATGGGGAGGAATAACTTTCAGCACAGAATCTCTTTTGAATAAGAGTCCATTTGCACAGTTGTTCAAGGAAAGTCTGCCACATCTACATTTGGATAATAATCAACAACTTATGTTTTCAATTTCAATTAAAGAAGAACAGCCTTCAGAAACAAGGGCCCACATCGTGACCATTTGTTTCCAATTTAGAATTCAAACTAGTAGAGCATCCAGACAGCTTGCCAAGTTTCTAAATATAGTCATTTAGGTAACTAAATCTTCATTTGGCTGTGCACAATTACATAGTTTCCCACTGCAGAAGATAATCAAGCCATTTAAGCAACTTTCTTCAGCTTCCAAATCAAGGAATTCCCTCTAGATACCTTGCTGTATCGTGTTACAATGGAATTGTCCTTGACTGGAAATCTAGAATATGGAATACACATTACTCATTTCTTCAGAGAGAGAAAGTCAAGCAAATTCGCAAAACTTTTGTCTTCTAGCCACTCGGTTATTGTGAAGATGAGCGTTTATATATACAGCTCAACAAAGCTGCACTCAGGACATGAGTATTAATGTGAAAAGAACAACAACAGTTGCTTATAAGAAGAAAGTAAGTTAGCCTTTAGAACACTTAGCTGTAGTCAAGAGAGGAAGTAAACAGAACAAACTGTTTCCCCTTTTAAATCAACATTGGCTACTGTAATCATAAACAACAGCTGATAACTTGATGTATCCTTATGTATCTAGGATTAGAATGGATAATTGCAAAACAAAAACAAAAACCCCACAATGGGCTCAGGTCCTGTTTGCAACTGAATGTAGACAGAGAAGGTAAGAACAACTGAGGCTCAGATCCAGAACTTTCTGAGATTCAAGACTGTTCCCCATTATTTATCTTGGAATTCCCCTATTTTTCTTTACTAGCTTCTAAGACAAGATTGAAGTAAAAATACGAGCACATCGGCATACACCCCAAATTACTACCATTTCAGAAGAAACTACAAGCCCAGGTTACTTGAAAGCTGATAGGTGAAGTCTTTAAAAAAATGCATATATAGTAGACCAGTTAACACCAAAGATTAAGATACGCATACACTTAAAACAGTTGTCGCTTTTTACCTATGGGCCCCTGCACAGAAAATAATACATGTAAGCAGATTATTTGTTTACACTGTTCATGGAAAAGAGGCTTAAAATATATCGGTTAAGTTCCATGTGGAAAAGTTCACAGCCAAAAGGCCGCTCAATAAACTGGTAGAGAAAAGCAGTGCACACACTTTATTGTGCAGCCCTACATTTATTTTTCCTGCAATTCTGATAATACAGAGATACAGACTCTGCAAGTGTCAAAACAAGAAAAAAATATTGAAGCTTTGTTTGCTAAGACATGATAGGTGGCAGGTAACTCATTCTTTTTCGTGGAGCAGACCAGCTGAAATTAATCAATATTACTATGTTGTTCATTCATTTCAATGGGTCAAATAATTTGATTCTATGCCAGGGGTCGGCAACCTAAGGCCCATGAGCCACAAGCAGCCCACAGGGGCCATTTAACCAGCCCATGAGAAAGCCCTGAACCGAGCCATCCGCTGCGCTAAACTGGCACAGCGCGTTGCAGGGACTTGCTTTCGTGGCACAGGAAATCACATCTGCACAGACGCTGGAAATTGTGTCTACGCAGACAATCATGGGCGCACGCGGGATCCGGCCCATGGAGGGATCTCCGCTGGAGTGAACCGACCCAGGCAAGGTAAACCCTGCCGAACCCTGTTCTATGCTTTGCTGTGCATATTAAAGGACTGGATCTCCAGAATCTATTACAAGATTCCCTGCCGATCTTCCATGCTTCTACATAAAACTAACAGAAGTCTTCAGCACTACTGTTTTGACTCAGGGGGAGGCTGTCTCCATGCAGTACTGCAGAAGGGTTTCTTTCAGAGTAAGGTCACTGCTCAGTGCCTCTCACAACTCACCCAAAAGCCCCAGGATAAACATGTCTACAGTTCCCAGTACATGCAAGGGGAACTGGCTAGAAAAACTAGAGCAACAGGATTTCCCCTTGCTTTCCAAAGGTGGCCAGTGGTGCCTACCCACAAATGAAAATGAAGATAGTAGAGGAAAATGCTGAGGATTCTTTGATGTTTGCACCACATGCTGACGGAAGCACAAAAAACAACACAGATTGCCTCTTCAGCAATACAAAGCAGCTGCAGTGGACGCAGCAAAGCAATTCTGGATGCGAGTATATTTACGCCTTTACACACAGATAAGCTTTACAGCCTTAAAAGAAAACAAGGGAGTCCTCGAATTTTAATTCAGAGGTTTTTTGAGCACCCTTCCCCATAGCAACCATAATGGAAGAAATGTGAGCCACAGCACCAGTCCTCAGTGTAACACAGTTAAGGGGTTCCTCCATTCAATGCATATGGATCAAGACAGTCCATCTCTGCCTTCAGTGGCGTAGCGTGGGGGGTGCCAGGGGTGCCGGCTGCACCGGGCGCAACATCTGGGGGGGGCGCGAGTCCAGAGGGCCCAGCCCAGTCGTGCCCTCGGCCCGCCCCTATTGTCAGAGCGGCCGGCCAGCCTCCGCCTGCTCCTACCTTGCCCACCCGAGGACTGCGGCAGCGCCCGCCCCCGTGGCCACCTACCCCCGCCTCGCCCATTGGCTTGCCTCCCTCGGCCCCGCCTCTCTCCGATGGCCACGGGGGTGTCCTGCTTGGCACCGGCGCCTTTTTTCAGGAGGTGGGGAGGCTGGACAGGGAGGTGGGGTCGGAAGCGGGCAGAGAAGGAGGGGAGCTCGTAGCCAAAAGGGCTGCGCCGGCCAGCAAAGGGCCGGGGAAAGTTTGGAGAGGAGAAACGCACCGTCATGATTTCCCGGTGGAAGCGGCAGGATTAGGGATGGTGAAGCGTAATTACGCACGAATTTCGCTGGGTGAGAGCTTCGGGGATCGATTGGCGGAAATGGGAATCAATTGGAATATGAGAAAGAGAGAGAGAGAGGGACCATCATTCATAGGCATAGATTTGTAGGGTCAGGGGCGCAAATCCACGGGTTAGGGGGCGCAAATTACTTGCCTTGCCCCGGGTGCTGACAACCCACGCTACGCCACTGTCTGCCTTGCTTGCTTTGCAAAGCATGCTATGCTACTTGCAAGCTTGTGCTGAATGACAAACATGTCTCTGCTTTTGCCGCAAGAGGGGGATAAAAAATCATGTTGCCCGTGAATCCGTAGTAAGGAGTAACCAATTCAGATGGAAAAGAAAAAAGTGATTTTAGCTACATGGATCAAGTATGGCTATTCTTCCAGGACAACAATATTTGAATATTCGATTTCTCCTACAGTACGGGAACTACTTTTAACTAAAAATATAATTAGGAAATGAAAACAAAACAAAACAAAACACCAAAACAGTTTAAAAGGTAACAGAAGTTTGAAGGGTTATGGAACTTGTAAAATAAAGCTTACCTCAATTGCTTTGCATAATTCTGTTCAATCTCTATCCTTTCTTTAACGAATTTTGCATATTTTTCCAGGAAGTCAATGCCCCACTGTGTGTGCTTGTCTAAATTGTCAAACTGATCCTGTAAAACACAAGCCAGAAAAAAAATCTAAATTGAACAAGATGACATGCACCCACATTGTTTTCAGATACTACGTTCTGTCTTCTACACATTTAGTGAATTGAAAATATAAACATAATCACACAAAGAAAACAGATACTAGGATACGGTACTTCAATACAGAAGGTGCTTTTTTGTTTTTAGAAAGACACAATCATAAGAGCAGTCCTGCTGAATGAATCTGACAGTCTATCTAGTTCAGCATCTTTTGAAAACGAGGTCCAGCTGGGGTCAGGGGTCAAGATTTAAGGAGCTGAACTGCGGAGCTTGCAGTATGTATTTGAATCCCAGGTTCTGCTACTCTTTTGCTGCTGACTTACCTCCCCTGTTCCCGGAAAAGCCATATTCTTCCCACCCCCTTGCTAATGACTAAATTCTCATCTCTAGTTCAGCAACCCAATGTCCATCCTACATAGTGAGTCACTGGAGGTTTCTGTTACCAAGTGTATCTATTTATTTTATTCCATTTATTGATCAATTTTCTATACTGCCCTTCATCCAAGGATCACAGGGCAGTTTACAAAACAAAAACACAAAAATATGTAACATACTTAGAAACAAAAACACGCCCCCCAACACAGTTTTAAAGGCCATAGATTGTTTAATTAGCCAAAGGCCTGGGAGAAGATGAGTGTTTTTTGCCTGGCACCTGAAGATACGTAACAATGGCACCAGGCGGGCCTCTCTGGGGTGAGCATTCCACAAGTGAGGAGCCACCACAGAAAAGGCCTCTTCTCATGTTGTACCCTCTGGGCCTCTCATGAAGGAGGCACATGAAGAAGGGCCTCAGATGATGATTGCAGGGTCCAGGTCTGTTTATATGGGGAGAGGTGGTCCTTGAGGTATTGTGGTCCCGAGCCGTTTGTGGCTTTATAGGGGAGCAGGTGGCATTTTAACCATGCCTGGAAACTAATTGGCAGCCAGTGAAGTCAAGCCAGGATGGGCATTATATGCTCAAACCTTCTCACCCCTGTGAGCAACCTGGCTGCTGAATTCTCTCACACAGCACTCACATATCTACATATTACATAGAATTACCACAGATTATAGTACATATTTGAAATATACTCTAGGATTCAGATAGCTGAGCATGAAGGAAGCTTCTATTGCGGTGTTCCCCAAACTTGGGTTTCCAGCTGTTTACGGACTACAATTCCCATCACCCCTGATCACTGGTCTTGCTAGCTAGGGATGATGGGAGTTGTAGTCCAAAAAAAACAGCTGGAGACCCAAGTTTGGGAAACACTGTTGTAGTGCTTTCTGAGCTCAAACGAAGTCCCTAATGGATTCTCTCCTTAGTAATGGCGGTGGAGTTCACTTTGGCAGATAACTCCTTCTTACCCGTGTCCCTCCCGCTTTAGAAAAAACACCCAGGCCCTACAGTTGCGGCAGAGATGTGGCTGTTGCCTCCCTCAAACTCTGCTTATGCTTATCTCCTGGCCACTATGTGCCCCCAACTGTTCCAGTTTTAAACACGCCACAGTGTGGTGAAGCTGAGTGGGCTCAACAGAGAGAAGCAAACCGTACACATGAAGTAAATAAACCAAGGCTCTGCAGCTATTGTTTGGGCCACAGAGAAGAGGAAGATGAGACAAAGGGAAACCTCAACGCTTCAGTGCACAAAGACTGCACTTGAACTGTTCATGATCGCCAAGAGGCTTAGTTCTAAAAGCATGCCCATAATTGAAACTTGCGCTTCAGGCTGATTTCATTTTTATTAGTTTGCCTTGTTTAAGACAACTGCTTCAACTGCAACTTTAGCTTTAATGTTCAACAAACCTAGTAATTAACTGTTTGATATTCAAAACATGCGCATGGTCTCAGACTGCCATTAAAGCCATTCTACAATACATGCAATATATTTGAGAATATATATATAACACCTGAAGATTAGACGATACATAAAAATTAATGGCAATGGTAGATGGTAAAGCGATATGAGGCAGCAAATGGAAGCCAAAACTCAGCCTTAAAAAGAATGAAGGCTATCAGGTTTCTATTATTATCCTCTCAGTCATATCCAGCATACTGGGTAAATATGGCCATATATTACATCCCAACCACATTATAATTCATCTACTTCTTCATTGCAACCCGAGTATGTAGACGAACACTGCATCAATGAGAAGGAATGTGAAGATGTGCTGCTGAGAAACTCAAAACACCGGATCCTTAAAGACCAGCTTGGCCACTGTAGTGCTCTACTCTTCAATAATATTAAGCATTTCAACTTGTAGACGTTAATAATCCAGGAACCTTGTTCTCTGCAAACGATGAAGCATTTTGGGGGTGGGGGAAGAACAACAACAGAGCATCTCCGTAAATCCATGGCCTCAACCACACAGAGATGTGATACATCTGCATCACACAATGTAAGTGAAAACCTAGCTTGAAATATGGCCATATTTTTGCTAGAGCGCCATCCATTCTTGGACAACAGCCTTGTCTGTGCTGTGTGATACGGTACTAGCACATCACTATGGATCTTAAACCACGAGTCCAAGTATGCGCTGGGAAGTAGGCAAGGCAACGTTTGGGTGGGGGAAGGTGTAATGTCGCATGTACAGCTTTGAAATAACTATCTCATCCATTCATCATAATGCATTTCATTAAGTTAATAGTTACTAGAATCTGGCTATTCTCCATTTTGTTCTGCTTTATCCATTTGCTTTGACTATTTCACCCTTGCACTGAAACTCCAATAAGGTGCTCTGGAACTGAACCAACAGTCAGAGACATTAGAACAAGCTTCCTGCCGTGAACACAAGAACAATGCTTTTGCTGTCCTAGTTTGGACTTCTTAGTTCACTGTTCTGACACACTGCCAGGTCTGTGGAAAACTAGTCAAGTGCCATTTTTAAAAACATTGCTAGATCTCCTCACAAACAGAACTCAAGCAAATTGGGGGGGGGCAATGTAAGCAATTACCGTATTTTTCACTCTATAAGACGCACCAGACCACAAGACGCACCTAGTTTTTGGAGGAGGAAAACAAGAAAAAAAAAATTCTGAATCTCAGAAGCCAGAACAGCAAGAGGGATCGCTGCACAGTGAAAGCAGCAATCCCTCTTGCTGTTCTGGCTTCTGTGATAGCTGCGTAGCCTGCATTCGGTCCATAAGACGCACACACATTTCCCCTTACTTTTTAGGAGGGAAAAAGTGAGTCTTACAGAGCAAAAAATACGGTAATTTCCTGCCACTGGATCCCAAAGCACAACTTGATGAAGACAAATTTGATTAATAGAGTAAAATCTCATACCTTGTCACTCTCAGAACCCAGGAGAATTCTCATCTCATGACTTTGCCTCTGAATACCAGTTGTTGGGGGACAACAGGAGAAGGCTATTTCCCTCAAGTCCTGTTTTGGGGCTCTCCAGAGGCAACTTGTTAGCCACTGTGAGAAAGAGGATGCTGGACCAGATAGCTGCTGGTCTGATCCAGCATTGCTCCTCTTACATTCCTTTTATTAGAAGTTGAAGTCACCAGGCTCACCTGGCAGCAAAGCAAAGATCAATCTACACTGCACCATGCCCAAGGTAACTATTGAGGTAATACTATCACAAGATGAAATATGTATAGTGGCTTTGTCATTTGTTAGGGTTCACTTCCTACTCTCAGAACTGGTGTTCAGTTTTATCCCCAAACAGATTCCATGTTCCCCTGTGATTAGACCAGGAGCATCTCACCTGTGGTCTTCTAGATGCTGCCTCACTACAGCTCCCATTAACCTTGACTGTTGGCCACGCAGCTGGGGCAGATGGGAGTTGAAGTCCAGCAGCATCTTGAGGACCACAGGTTGGCCACCACCAGATTAGACTGAAGGAGGACTGGGTATACACATATTAGAGTTGAGACACTGGCGATAGAAAACATATCTCAGAATTCCTACAGCCAAACACGGCATTCATTACCATTGAGCAGAAGAAGGTGGTATCTTATCACACAAGTTTTCTACTGCGTAGGAAATAAGCATGGCAAGGTAGAAGTAGAATATACCCATTATCAATATTACAACCACAAACTGAAATACAATATAAAAGCAAAGTCAACAGGGATTGGCATATTTTGCAACTGCAAGTGCAGAGAATTGCTTTAATGCATGTAGGAAGGAACCACAGGGCCATCCTATATGAAAATTGAATATTAAGTGGGTTTCAAAAGGAAGTACTATAAGTGCAAGGCTTTTAGTTTTTGTTTTTCTTAACCAGGATGTAGGAGTTCAGCCTGTGCTGAACAATGCTGCATTTTCCCTTTATGGTGGTGGTGATGAATCTTTGTCTATAGCTACCCCAGTGGCATCTGTAGTACAAAGCAGTTTCTGCCAACATCATCTGGTGCACCAACTGCACCCTGTTATGGATAAGGATGATCTTGCTGCAACGATTCATGTTCTTGTAAGTCAATGTAAGTTTGCTATGATGTATAATATGTAGTGCTGCCTTCAAAAGGGATCTCAACCTTCACTTGATACAAAAAATATATATGCAGCAAGGTAATGAACAGGGACCAAGTATAACCATCGTACCTCGGGTTAAGTACTTAATTCGTTCTGGAGGTCTGTTCTTAACCTGAAACTGTTCTTAACCTGAAGCACCACTTTAGCTAAGGGGGCCTCCTCCTGCTGCCGCTGCGCCGCCGGAGCACGATTTCTGTTGTGATCCTGAAGCAAAGTTCTTAACCTGAAGCACTATTTCCGGGTTAGCGGAGTCTGTAACCTGAAGCGTATGTAACCTGAAGCGTATGTAACCTGAGATACCACTGTATTACAATAATATAAAAATATATGCAGTGGTAACCTGTTTGTATACATCCCTAAGATGGTAGTTAGGCCAAGGTGCACACAAGCTTGGATATTTTATTTCTGGAAGAATTTTTCATTGGGTTTATCTAATTCTAACTCTTATCCAACTAGGTTTATCTAACCCACTAGGCCTGATCCTTTTAATCTTTTCCATTGTGTA